GAATCTCACTCTGTCGCCCAGGCTGGAATGCAGTGGTACAATCTTGGCTCACTGCAACCTCCACCTCCTGGGTTCAAACGATTCTCCTGCCTCAGCCTCCTGAGTAGCTGGGATTACAGAACCCTGCCACCACGCCCAGCTAATTTTGTGATTTTAGTAGAGATGGGGTTTCACCATGTTGGCAGGCTGGTCTCGAACTCCTGACCTCAAGTGGTCTGCCCGCCTTGGCCTCCCAAAGTGCTGGGATTACAGGCCTGAGCCACCATGCCCAGCCCATTCAATGCAATTACTTACCCTCTAGGCTATAATCAAATTTCCCCGACTGTCCCAATAGTGTCCCTGCTCCAGTCTAGTTAAGGAGCATGGCATTTTCTTCTCCTGTCTCTAGTCTCCCCTAATCCAGACCTGTGGAGGCTAAAGCAAGTCCATCTTTGATGCCAATCTGCCATGATGACCTCTGATTAACCCCTGTTCTGGGAAGGCCTCTAAGATTTCCAGTTTATCTATTGGTGCCCTGTGTAAGAGGCTTTATTGTAATTCCTGCCCTTAGGTCAAAATAGTCTTGATGTTTTCATACTTCAATTATCCTATATATCCCTTCAGGGCCACCCTTTCCCTATCACATGTAAGCCTTGGTATCGCTGACTCCTGATACACAGACATGGTTCAGCTCATGAGTTCCTATTAAATGTTTCTTTTGGAGAAACTGAATTTGTCAGCCTCTGTCTTTGACCTCTCAGCTTCCTCAGACTTTAGGGGCAGGCTTGCACAGATCTGCTTACCAAGAAACGAGACCATTTCCCCAGGCCTGATGTTCTCTGAGAGTCACAGCCAGTGCTGGAAACTGAGCCTGTGTGTAGATCTGTCTTATTTTTTCATGATCAGATTCAGGTTGAACATTTCTGGCAGGAAATTCTACTTGAAGAAGTCTGTATCTTTTCTCTGAGCATCACATCAGGTACCCAGGATGTCAAATGGTCCCACTGTTGGTGTGGTTGACCTTGGTCATTTTGCTAAGGTGGTGTCTGACTAACGTTATTATAAAGGTTCCTTTCTCCCCATGTAATGAATTAGAGGCCTGTGGGAAGACTGTGTGCTCCATAAAGGCTTTTCAAGAAATGAAAATGTTGGCATCGTGCAACTTCGTATGATGTTTTCAGTTAGCAAATTGTGACTGTCTTCTCATACCATTAAATATTCTTCAAAAACATGATTTCCAACCTGTGGGGGTGTTCTACTTAATTACTGCCTGCTAGGATGTAACTATTTGCTTGCTAACATAAACTCCACGACAGTGCAGATTTTCATCAGTTTTACTTTCTGCCATGTTTCCAGCACTGAGAGTGGTATCTGGCATACAGTAGAAGTTCAACAAAAATTTGTTGAATGAATGAATACAGTTTGTGTGTAATTTTTCAATATCCTAATGTCACAGCAAACATCCTTGTAAATAAATCTTTGAAATATTTACTTTGTGAGAAACACAGATAATGCTTGTAAGGGAAATGTTTATGTTGATAATGTGAAAAAATAAGAATGCAAAATCATACATATGCCATATTCTCCACAACATCAAAATATGCAAAGAGAACCATCTGGGAAAAAACAGAGCAAACAATTGACAGGAATTATCTCTGAACAGTTTTAATGTGTTTTGAACATTTCTCTGTATTTTCCACAATGAGAATATATCGCTTGTATGCAAAGGAGCAGCAGCACCTTTTTCTTTTTAAAGTTAGTTTTGCAAGTCAAGAGTCATAGTTACTGGGGGTACCCAAACTGGTTAAAAACCAAATTCAGGTTTAGGCTACACCAACTGTAGGAGACTGTGGCCTTGCAGGAGCCCCTGGATGCTGGGCTAGGCTGATTACATTTAGGATATCAGATTCCCTTTCTGGTGTCACATTTGAAAAGTGATATTGTCTAACTGGTGCCTGTCTAAAGGACAGTGGCCAGCTGGTACAGGATCTGAAAATTGTGTTACCGTTAACACTTACGAACTGGGAGCATTTTTCCTCCAAAAGAAAACTGGGGGATTGAAAAGTTTCTTTTAATATTTGAAGAACTGTCAAATAACGAAGTGATGATTCTTATTTTATGCACTTTTAGAGGAAAAGCTTCAAGAAGGCAGCATTTTTATTCTAGTAAATGAGGAAGACTTTTTTTTTTTTTTTTTTTTTTTGAGGCAGAGACTCACTTTGTTGTCCAGGCTGAAGTGTTTGTTGTCCAGGCTGAAGTGCAGTGGTACGATCTCGGCTCACTGCAACCTCCACTTCCTGGGTTCAAGCTATTCTCCTGCCTCAGCCTCCCGAGTAGCTGAGACTACAGGTACACACCACCACGCCCAGCTAATTTTTGTACTTTTAGTAGAGACAGGGGTTTCACCATATTGGTCAGGCTGGTCTCCAGCTCCTGACCTCAACTGATCCATCCGCCTTGGCCTCCCAAAGTGCTGGGATTACAGGCGTGAGCCACCGCGCCCAGCAACTTTTTTTTTTTGGTCGGGGGGTGGGGACAGAGTCTCGCTCTGTCACCCAGGGTGGAGTGCAGTGGTGCGATCTCAGCTCACTGCAACCTCTGCCTCTCAGGTTCAAGCGATTCTCCTGCCTCAGCCTCCTGAATAGCTGGGAATACAAGTGCATGCCACCATGCCTGGCTAATTTTTGTATTTTTTAGTAGAGGTTTAGTAGAGGGATTTCACCATGTTGGCCAGGCTGGTCTTGAACTCCTGACCTCAGGTGATCCACCCATCTTGGCCTCCCAAAATGCTAGGATTACAGGCGTGAGCCACTGTGCCCGGCCTCAAAGAAGACTTTCTTAACAATTCATCATATAGTAGAAAATGAAAACATTCCCTAGAAATGAGCCTCTCCCAGGGGCGCAGGGCAGGAATTGTTGAAGCAGTTAGGAGGTAAGAGAGATGCCTGCCCTGGGGGCACCTGGGATGTGTGCTGTGGCCACTTCCAGCATCCTCCATGAACCTGTCTGCAACTCCCCCATACATGCAGCCTCTTCCAAGACAGAGGAATGGTCAGGGTCCCCTGGTGCCTGCCTCCCCCTTCATTCAGGTTTCTTCTTCAGGGCCAGCTCCCCAGAGAATCCATCCCTCATACCTCATCACTCCCTCCCCATTCTCTGGCCCTGCTTTAGTTTTCTTCCTAACACTGTTTTTGATGGACACATTGTTACCTGTTAACTCATTTCCTACTGTTTGTCCCCTCTAACATGCTTACTGTAAGGATGGAGGGGCCTTATTCTCCTGGTCCCTGGGGACAGACCAGTGTTCACAGACCCCAGACCAGGGACTGTTGGACAGCAGGCCTGCCACATTTGTTCAATGAAGGAATGATTCCCAAAAGAAATAGAGCACAGAGTTCAGAGGCGGGCTTCAGGGAAGAAATTTTAACAATGTCAAAAATTAATTGTGGAGTATCCATTGATGGATGAATGGATAACTTAAATGTGGAATATGCATACAATGGAATATTATTCAGCCACAAGAAAGAAAGGGCTGGGCGCAGTGGCTCACGCCTGTAATCCCAGCACTTTGGGAGGCCCAGGCGGGCGGATCACAAGGTCAGGAGATCGATTTCATCCTGGCCAACATGATGAAACCCTGTCTGTACTAAAATACAAAAAAAAAAAAAAAATTAGCCAGGCGTGGTGGCGCGCCCCTGTAGTCCCAGCTACTCAGGAGGCTGAGGCAGGCGAATAGCTTGAACCTGGGAGCTGGAGGTTGCAGTGAGCCAAGATTGCACCACTACACTCCAGACTGGCGACAGAGCGAGACTCCGTCTCAAAAAAAAAAAAAAAAAGAAAGGAAATTCTGACACATGCCACAACATGGACGAAAGTGAGGACATTGTGCTAACTGAAGTAAGACAGTCACAAAAAGACATATAATATATGGTTCCACTTATACGCGGTCCTTATAGTAGTCTAATTTAGAGACAAAGTAGAATAGTGAATGCCAAAGGCTGGGAGGAGGAAAGAATGGGGAGCTAGTGTTTACTGGGTATTGAGTCTCCATTTGAGAAGATGAAAAAGTCCTGGAGACGGATGGTGGTTGCACAAGAATGTGAACGTACTTGGTGCCACAGAACTACACTTGGAAACAGTTAAGATGGTAAGTTTTACGTTATGTGTATTTTACCACAATTAAGAAAATTTAATTATGGGTAGTTGAGAGAATGTGGTCTTCCTCAACTTACGGTAGGAAAAGTCAAGAATAACTTAAAGGCTGATAATAGCATTTTAGAGGTCGAAACTGATCAGAGAGGCTATTCCATCAGGCTAGACTAGCTCAATAGTGACTTTTTCCAGGAGTAGAACCGCTGGGAAGAGAGAACTGGGCAGTGAGGAAAGCGAACTTGTTCAGTTAAGTTTGATTTTCTGCTTTAACGAGGGGCTTCCTGAGTCCCTTAATAAGATCCCCTCCCAAAAGAGGCACCCCGGGTCTCTGCGTCTCCCAGTCATGTCCCCGCCCGCCGGGCCAGAGCAATGGACTCCCAGGAGGCAGGGGAGGCGCGGGCGAGGCGGGTGGGGGAAGGGCAAGGACTCACTCTTCCTTTCCTCCTCCGCCGGGGCCCGCCCCGAACCCTGGCCCCGCCCCGGCTCCCTGGCTCCGCCTCCTCCTCCCGACCCCGCCCCGGCACCTTGGCCCCACCGCCCACTCGGCTCCGCCCCGGCGTCCTGGCCCCGCCTCCGCCGCCCGGCCCCGCCCCGCTCCTGGCGGACTGCGAGCAGGAAGCGCGCGGTGGCTCTGCCGACGCCGCGTTTGGAAAGGTGTGGAGGGGGCTGGGGGCGCAAGTCGCGATCAGGCTGCGTCTCCTGCCCGCCCAGCCACCTGCGGCCCTGGCCCCACCCCGCCGCTTTGGGCCGCTCAGGTTCGCGGCCGCCCCCGCCCCGAGCGCCGGCTCGGGGCTCCGCTGCTCTGGCCTGGGAGGCGGGGCCGGCTGCGCGGCGTCATGCATATGCATGAACGGCGCGGCGGCGGCTCCATTGTGCCCTCGGAGCGGGCGGCGGCGCGATGGCGCGGGTGGCGGCGGCCCCGGGGCGGCGGGCGTCGCGGAGGGCGGGCTGAGCGCATGGAGCGGCGCGGGCCGGGGGCCGCCACGGCGAGGGGCCGGGCCAGGCCGGGCGGAGGTGAGCGGGGCCCTGGGGGTGGCCCCTGGCAACGCCGCCCGCGGGCAGGTGCGGGCCGGCGGGGGCGGGCAGGTGCGGCAGGTGCGGGCCGGCAGGTGCGGGCGGGCAGGTGTAGCCAGTCGCCCGGGGCGCCCCAGTTCGGTTGCGGCGCCGCGGTAGGGTTCGCAGCCGGGCTGGGGCTGAAGGCTCTGCCGCCCACCTGCCGGCACCTGCCACGCGTGCGTCGTGGTCTTGGGCAGGCTCGGCCCCGTGGGCGTCAGGGTCGTCCAGCCCTCCCCTGAGTCTTTGTTGGAGGCTGGCCGAGGGGTGTAAGCGGCGCTCGGGGTTCTCCTGAGCGATGAAGGCTGGCCGGGCCTTCGCTCCAACCTGATCGTTCCTGGCTCTGGGGCCAGGCAGTCTCACCTACATGGTACGCCCCTCCGCTCCCACTTACGTGCCCACCAACAGGGCAATGTGGGGGCCCTCTGAGGCCGTCACCTGCTCGCCGAGGAGCTGTTCCGCTCCTGGGCTGAACGACGCTGAGCTGCCAGCCCCCAGCTGGCAGTTTTGATGAGGACACCCCTTTGCAAACTGGACATACTGAAGCTCAGGCGTGAGGATGCCCTGCTCCCCTGAGGTGCCTTGTCTTCCCTAGTGCCAGGTGTCCTTCACCGCGGCACCCCCACCCGGTGCCTTGTTTACCCCTCCACCTACCCTGTCTCTCCTCCCATTCCCTGGACCCTCTGCCCTGCAGTGTTCTGCCTCTCCTTCTCCCTGGGGTACCCTCTTTCCAGTATTACAGAACATCCATGGTGGTGTCTTTAATTTGTGTCATCGCAGATTTCACAGGGACACACATAGAACATGTGACTTGGTCTGAGACCGTGGTGATTATGGATAGGATGGACACAGACTCACCACCAAGTTCTGGCAAGCTAGAACCAGAGGGCATCCCTTGATGCTTAGTGAAACAGGAGAAGTGAAGGAATCTTAACTTTCAGGGGTACTGACCCTTGAATGGCCCTTGTCATGCCCAGGGGGTAGTTACAAGCTGGAAGTGTAAATGAGGAGAACAAGCAGATGACAGTTGCCGGTGTAGATTTCTGAAGGACAGGCCTAAGATGTTTGGGGAGCATCTTGATTATTGGGATTGAGCTCCCAAGGGCTGATGAGATGAAGGTGGTCATGTGTCCTCAGTCCTAGGATGCCACCAGATACCCATCTTAACACATTGTAAACTGATGCCAGGTTAAGGTTGTCCCTTCAGCTGTTCACTGAAACGTCTCATGCCTGGGCCATTGCTTATTCCTGGACTTTTTGATGAACCCCGCATCCTGCCTTAGCCCCACGCTTAGGCAGTTTAGTACTGTGGCCTTACAGGTAGAGGGGGCAGGACTTTCAGCTACCTGTACATGTGAGCACCCCACTTTTTGCTACTAGGGACCCCGCTCCTGCCCCATTCCAGAGCCATCATTTCTTCAAGACCCTTTGACTCCATTGTCACCCAGGTTGGATCCTGACCCTGCAGTCTTGGAGACAGTGAGACCTGATCTGTGACCTATTGAGAAGGGTTGCCTGCCACAGGGCCCACTTGCTGGTCCTGCTCCTAACTGACTAGGCAGGCAGAGAGGTGGCATGGAACAAGGCTCAGGAGGCCAACCAGGAGACTTTGGGGTGCAGCTACTCTGGGACACTTGGGTAAGAGAGGTCTGGGTAGTGAGTTGTGTAGCTCTGTCTAGAGGAAGATGTGATCTGACCCCCAGAAAGCCTTGTGGCCCTCTAGACTGACCTTGTCCTTCTTTCAAGGGGTCCTAGCTTCCAGCTGGAGTTAGTTTACAAGGAAAGTGCCAGGCACTAAGACTCTTGGTGGGCATGGGCCTTGCCTGATCTGGAATCCAGATTCCAGGCTCCAGGCTGTTCCCAGCCCAGACTCAGAGCCAGGAGATGGGAGGAGGATCTGCACACACACAACGTAGAAACGCTTCCCTATGATCAGGGGCAGAGGGTCAAGGATACCAGACCTGGAGACTGGAAGTCTTTCTAAAGAGACTGTCCTCAGAGAGGAGACCAGAGGCATGAGTTCGGGTCGGCAGGAAATCCCCCTGTGCAGTGAAGAGTAAGCTCAGAGGGAACTGGAAATTGTGGTCTCTGTCCACAGCAGAGATGCATCAGGGGTGGAATTCCCCAGGCCCATGTGACATAGGAGCCTGCTGTGGGCTCCTCCCCTCCCTGTACCTGCCCTGTGCCCCTTCTTCCCAGCTCACTCCATTTCCTAGATCTGAGGCTCTCAAACTATAGTTCCTGGACTAGCAGCAGTAGTAGCTGCAAACTTGTTAGAAATTACAGGCTTAGGCCCCAGCCCAGCCTACTGACTTCAGGTGGAGCTAGGCAGCCTGTCATCACCAGCTGCAAGCTGGTTTTGATGTGCTGTAGTTGAGGAGCTGCTGCGCTAGGTGACCTGAAATGAGGCAGTTCTGCACGGAGTGCTGCCTGCACTTTGAGGCCTTTGACCAGGGGTGGGGGGAGGAGGCACCTCTGCTTGCCTGCCAGATTCCCTCCCTGTGCTTCTTGGGACAGCAAAGTGGCCAGCCCAACCCAACCAGCTTTCCAGTAGGGAAGGATTGTCACAGCAGTTCTGCGGATACAGAAGGCTGGTGGTAGCAGTTGTATTGTAATTAAACTTCTTATTTTGAAATTATTGGCTGGACACGGTGGTGCACACCTCTCAATCTCAGCACTTTGGGAGGCAGAGGTGGGTGGATCACTTGAGGTCAAGAGTTCAAGACCAGCCTGGCCATCGTGGGGAACCCTCATCTCCACTAAAAATACAAAAATTAGCCAGGCATGGTGGTGCACACCTGTAGTCCAGTTACTTGGGAGGCTGAGGCAGGAGAATCACTTGAACCTGGGAGGCGGAGGTTGCAGTGAGCAGTCTGGGTGACCGAGCAAGATTCCATCTCATAAAAAAGAAATGAAAGATTCATGTGCATTATAAGAAATGACACAGAGAGATTCAGTCTATCCTTTACCCAGTTTCCCCCAATGTTAACATCTTGGAAAACTTTAGTGCAACATTGCACCAGGACACTACATTTATACAGTAAAGAGGTTACACCTGTTGCCTTTTTTTTTTTTTTTTTTTTGAGACAGTTTCACCCTTGTTGCCCAGGCAACAATGGACCTGGCTCCATTGCCAGTGAACATGAACCCCATGAAACCTGCCCTGCCCCCCGCACCACACGGGTGAGTGTGGGCTCTGTCCACCCCTCAGGCCCTGGGGTTGGGGGTGTCATTTCTGGACCCAGGCCTCAGTGCAGTCGGCTCACTGTAGCCTCCACCTCCCGGGTCCAAGTGATCCTCCTGCTTCAGCCTCCTGAGTAGCTGGGATTGCAGGCACCTGCCACCACGCCCAGTTAGTTTTTGTATTTTTAGTAGAGACAGAGTTTCACCATGTTGGTCAGGCTGGTCTCAAACTCCTGACCTTAGGTGATCCACCTGCCTTGCCCTCCCAAAGTGCTGGAATTACAGGCGTGAGCTACCACACCCAGCCTTTTTTGTTTTGTTTTTTGAGCCAGAGTCTTGCTCTGTCGCCCAGACTGGAGTGCAATGGCATGATCTCAGCTCACTACAACCTCTGCCTCCTGGCTTCGAACTATTCTCCTGCCTCAACGTCCCAGGTTGCTGGGATTACAGGCACCTGCCACCACACCCGGCTAATTCTTACATTTTTAGTAGAGATGGGGTTTCACCATGTTGGCCAGGCTGGTCTCGAACTCCTGACCTCAAATGATCCACCTGCCTCAGCCTCCCAAAGTGCTGGGATTACAGGTGTGAGCCACCACACCCAGCCTGTTGCCTTCTTATATTCACGCCCACCTTCCTCCTGCCAAAATTATAGAAATGGAGAAGATATTAGTACCTTTAGTACCTTTCTCCTTTACCCCCACATTTAACCCCTGGCAATCACCAACCTATTCTCCATTTCCCTAATTTTGGTGTGTCAAGAATGCTAAATAAAGAGTCATATACCACGTAGCCTCTTGGGATTGGCTTTTTCCACTCAGCATTAATTCTCTGGAGGTTCATCCAGGTTGTTGCATATATCAGTAGTTCATACCTTTATATTGCATCCCAGCTATGGATGTACCACCGTTGATTTAACTATTCATCCACTGAAGGACATCTGGGCTGTTTCCATTTTATGGCTATTACAAATAAAGCAGTTATAAACATTTGTGTACAGGTTTTTATGTGAACATAAGTTTTCATTTCTCTGAGATAAATGCATACAAGTGCAGTTGCTGGGTCATAGTAGGGTAGCTGCTTGCTTAGTTCCATATGATACGGCCAGACTGTTTTCCAGAGTGGCTGTACATTTTACATTCCCACTAGTAATGTGTGAGAGATCCAGTTTCTCCTTGCCAGCATTTAGTGATGTCACTATTTTTTATTTTAGCCATTCTGATGGATGTATAGTGATATCTCACTGTGGTTTTAATTTGCATTTCCCCACTGACTGGTGATGCTGAGCATCTTTTCATATGCTTATTTGCCATCTGTATATTCTCTGGCAAAGTGTCTTTTTATGTTTTTTGCTTATTTTCTAATTGGAGTTTTTTATTTTAATTTTTTTTTTTTAGTTTTGAGAATTCTTTTTTTTTTTCCAGTCATCGTTCACTCTGTCTTCCAGGCTGGAGTACAGTAGCATGATCATGTCTCACTCCAGCCTGCACCTTCTGGGGTCAAGTGGTCCCCCACTGTAGCCTCCTGAGAAGCTGGCACTACAGGTGCATGCCACCAGCTGATTTTTGAATTTCTTGAGGAGACAGGGGTCTCACTATGTTGCCCAGGCTGGTCTTGAACTCCTGGGCTCAAGCAGTCCTCCTGCCTCAGCCTCCCAAAGTGCTGGGATTATAAAGAGTGAGCCACTGTGCCTGGCCAAGAATTCTTTATATGTTCTAGATACTCGTCCTTTGTTGGATATGCAGCTTGCAAATATTTATCCTGGCCTATATCTTACCTTTTCATCCTCTTAGCAGGGCCTTTCACGAAGGAAAAATTTTAATTTTGATGAAGTCCAGTTTATCGGTTTTTTTCTTTTATGGATCATGCCTTTGGTATCAGGTCTAAGAACTCTTTGGCCTAGATCGCAAAGATTTTCTCCTATGTATTTTCCTGAACATTTTATAGATTTATGTTTTACAGTTAAATCTGGAAACCATTTTGAGTTACTTTTTGTGTAAGGTGTGAAGTTGAGGTGTTTTGTTTGTTGTTTTGATGCCGGGTTGCTCCACTGTCCCAGCACCATTAGCTAGAAAGGCTGTCCTTCATCCTTTGAATTCCTCTTGCACCTTTGTCAGACATCGTTTGGCCCTATTTGTGCAGATCAGTTTCAGACTCTCTGATCTCACCTATTAGCCCATAGTTCTGTTCCCCTGTTGGTACCACACAGTTTTGATTACCATATCTATATTCTAAGTCCTAAAGTCTGTGTATGGCTGCTCAAGGCCCCACCCAGCAGCTCTGGGGAGGAGTTTCTGGCTATTGGCAGGTTCCTCTGTCCCCCAACATCAGTATTCCTGAGTCACGCTGTGGGACTGGGATTGCCACCCCTACCTTGCCTGGCTGGGCCATCTCAGCTTCCAGGCCTGTTCTTGCCCAGAGTCCAGGTGCCTAGAGCCTTCTGGAGCCATCAGCCCCTGGTTTTCCTCACCCCTGCTTCCTGGGCAGGACTTGGACTGGGGGAGCAAGGGGAGGAGCATATGGGCCAGGAATCAAGTCTTGCCTGCCCTGAGGGTGTGAGGAAGTCCAGACCACCGCCCTCTCCCTCTTCCCTAGCCCTCTCCCTCTTCCCTAATTGCTACCCCCTTGCTCGGTGGTGGGTGGTGGGAAGATCCAGTGAAAGGCCACATGCTTAGACTCCCCAGGCAGAGCTTAGCTCTACGTCTCACCTGCTCTGGGGCCCTGGGCACACAGCTTGCCCTCAGAATCTCCAGGTCTATATTTTGAGGGGTGAGGCTATTCCTACCTCCATTGGTGAGGCCCTCGGTCAGCACAAGAAATGGCAGCCTAGATGAATGCGGGGCCACCCTCTCCTGGGGCACAGAGAGGTCATGTGAGTGCGATGGCAGGATGGCACCAGTAGTCAGCACACCTCAGGTGGCATGTCTGTGTGTGTGGCAGCCTTGCAGGCCCTAAAAGGGAGTGATATCCAAGGCGAGCATGCCTGGGGACTCCTGAGGAACAGCTGAAACGGGTACTCACACACCCACTGCTTGGCCTGTGCTGCAGCCAGTGTTCCTCTGTGGATAGCCCAGGCAGGCAGAGGTGGATGTGGCAGGTGGTCCTGGGAGTGTCAGGACCCAGGGTAGTGCCAGTGAGGGCCCTTCAGGGACAGTCCAGGGGCAGGGCCCCAGGGGATGTCTGGGCCTGCTTTGGTAAGGGGCTTGCTTGTGGCAGTGTTGGAAGGCGTGGCACTCGGAAGCAGCCTGAAGGTGTGGTCACTTCCGTGGCTTGTTTACTAAATGGGAGAGCAAACTTAGCATGGCACGTAGAAGTCCCATGGTGCCAGCACTGTGGTCCTGCATGTGTCCTGCTGCATCTTCCCTGACACACCCCCTCTGCTGCCCTGTCCTAGGCACCAGGTCCCTGGTATCCACTCAGCCCCATCTTGCAGAGTCGCTTCAGTGTCCCCCCAGCCCCTTGCTTAGAAACACTGGCCAAGTCGCATTCCCTGCCAGGTCTGTGGGTACCCACCCTCCATCTATTGTGCTGTGTGTCCCTGCCCTCTCCTGGGGGTGTCATGGATGCGCCAGTGGGTCTGCGCGCCTGGCCCCTATGACCATATCAGCCTCAGGCAGCCCCCACTTGGTGGAATCTGGGTCAGTTCTGAGGTCCCCTGGCCTGGAGCCCTTCTGCTACCCTAAGGAGGGCCCTCTTGTTGGGAGGGGCTGCTAGCCAGGGCCCGGGTTACTGGTCCCATACCCCATTTCAGCAGGCATCCTGCATGTCCCTCCCCAAGGCCAGGATGGAGGGTTGTTGGTTGACCACTGCACTCCTGTGATCACCGCACCCCTGCACTCTCCTCCTTGGCTTTCTCAGCCCCTGGCCTCCAGAACCGCCTATGCCCCTACCTGGGCTACTCAGGGTAGGCAAGACCTTGAGCAGGACCTCGCGCTGACTGGCCCTCTGTCCTTCACCCCAGGGCCTTCTGAGGGTTCCTGGCTACCGGCTCCTCTCTAAACCCCAGTTTCTACGGGGTAGCTAGAATTGTCCCTGGCTTTATATGGATAGCCAGGCCTCGGTGTGGGCGAGAGAGTGGGGAAAGTATTTGGAATCAGGAAGTCCATCTCTAGGGTTGATCCAGGGACTCCGGGTGGCAGGGTCTGGGTCAGAAAGGGTTCATGCTGGCCTCCAGGCTGGGTTTGTGGGGGCAGAGCCTCACCAGAGTGGGTGGGGTGGGCCAGTATTAGGCTCCTCCACTGCCTTGCCTGCCATCAGAGCCCAGGGGTCCCTTATTGAGAAAGAGGTGGGGCCTGCTGGCACCGGGGTCCCTCCACCCTGCCGAAAGGGTCTCCTGGCTGCATCTCAGCTAATATCCATTCCTTCCTGTCGGGCAGCCAGAGCAACTGAGTTCCAGATAAACACTGTCAGACCCGGCCTATAGGCTGCTCCATTGCCAATGAACTCCATGAACCCCATGAAACCTGCCCTGCCCCCTGCGCCACACGGGTGAGTGTGGGCTCCTCTGCCCACCCCTCAGGCCCTGGGATTGGGGGTGTCATTTCTGGACCCAGGCCTCAGCAGCCTCTCTCCCTGCAGTGATGGTTCATTCGCATATGAGTCTGTGCCTTGGCAACAAAGCGCCACTCAGCCGGCTGGATCGCTGTCCGTGGTCACTACTGTGTGGGGAGTTGGCAACGCGACACAGAGCCAGGTAAGCACCCACTGGGGCCCCATTCCCGAGCAGACAGAGCCTCCCAGCGCTTGGCAGTGCTTAGTGCCTCCTCAGAGCTCTGAGAGACGAAGAGGCTGAGAGGTGAGGACAGAGAGGCTGAGGCATGACATGAGAATGGGGCCTCCTGAGTCTCCTAAGTCTTTGGACACTGGTTCTCTTTCCACGCCTGGTGTGGGATTTTCTTCTCCTGTCTTCACCTAGCCTTCACAAAATGCCCCAACCTACCTGTGGGCAGCTGCTTTCCCTGCTTCCCGTGCTATACCCCATCCCCTCCACCGCTCCCCCAATCCGCTTGCCAGGCCTTTTGGTTTCTAGCACTTTGGAACTGCTGCATGAAACACATTGTTTGGCTGGTTCCCTTTGGTGATTCCTGCTTCCTCATAGGTTTTGGGGAACCCTATGGGCCCTGCAGGGAGTCCCTCTGGCGGCTCCATGATGCCTGGTGTGGCAGGGGGCAGCTCCGCCTTGACCTCCCCACAGTGCCTGGGACAGCAGGCGTTTGCTGAAGGCAGCGCCAACAAGGGCTACGTGCAGCAAGGCGTGTACAGCCGCGGGGGCTACCCTGGGGCCCCCGGCTTCACCACTGGGTAAGCAGGTCCCCTCACCTGGCAGGTATGCTAGGAGCCATCAACTTGGCAGGCACCTCAGAACTGTGGCGCTGATCAGCTGGACGTTCCCTCTCTGCTTCCTGCCAGCTCCGACAGCTGTAGTGGAGGGTCTAGAAAGAATGGGCTCCCCCTGAGTGCTGCATGCCTCTGGGCTAAGCACGGTCCTGGCCCTCATGAGCCCACACAGAGAGTGTGGCAATCCTGTGTCTCCTGCAGGTATGCAGGCGGCCCCGGGGGCCTGGGCCTCCCCTCACATGCTGCAAGACCCTCCACTGACTTCACACAAGCGGCAGCTGCTGCGGCTGTGGCTGCTGCAGCAGCCACTGCCACCGCCACAGCCACAGCCACCGTGGCTGCTCTCCAAGAGAAGCAGAGCCAGGAGCTGAGCCAGTATGGAGCGGTGAGTCCCCCTCGGCAGCTCCTCCCACGTGGCAGCCAGCCTGAGGGCCTGGGAGGAGGTACTCAGCCAGACAGTGGGCTCCAGGGACAAGCACGGAATATGCCAGGGCTCACGAGGCCAGTAAAAGAGAGATGTGAGGAAAGGAGTGAGGGTCTGAGGGGAGAGGTTTTTGGGGTGTCCTGTGAAAGGGTATGGTGCCCACATGGGTGGGTGGGTGGGTGGTATGCCTATCTTTTGGAACCCTTTGTGTGTGGGACCTGGACCATTCTTTTTTTCTCTTCCTAGATGGGGGCCGGACAGTCTTTTAACAGCCAGTTTCTGCAGCATGGAGGTCCCCGGGGGCCTGGTGTCCCCACTGGCATGAACCCTACTGGCATGGGAGGGGTGATGGGCCCCTCTGGCCTCTCCCCCATGGCTATGAACCCCACCCGGGCAGCAGGAATGACGCCCTTGTATGCAGGGCAGCGCCTGCCCCAACATGGGTATCCTGGGCCTCCCCAGGCCCAGCCACTGCCCCGACAGGGGGTCAAGAGAACCTACTCTGAGGTGAGTGTCCAGGTCACCTAGTTTGGGACCTTGGGTACCAGCTCCCTCACCCAGGCACTCTTTAGAGCTGTGGTAAAGAGCAGGCTTCTGGCTGGGCGTGGTGGCTCATGCCTATAGTCCCTGCACTTTGGGAGACCAAGGAGAGTGAATCCCTTGAGCTCAGGAGTTTGAGACCAGCCTGGGCAACATGGTGAAACCCTGCCTCTACAAAAATTAGCCTAGTGTGGTGGCATGTACCTGTAGTCACAGCTCCTTGGGAGGCAGAGGTGGGAGGATTGCCTGAACCCAGAAAGTTGAGGGTGCAGTGAGCTGTGATTGCTCCCCTGCACTTCAGGCTGGGCAACAGGAGTGAGACCTTGTTTAAAAATAAAAAATAAAAAAAAAAAAAGAGCAAAAGCCAGGCCTTGTGGCTTACGCCTGTAATCCCAGCACTTTGGGAGGCTGAGGCAGGTGAATCACTTGAGGTCAGGAGTTCGAGACCAGCCTGGCCAGTGTGGTAAAACCCCCATCTCTACTAATAATACAAAAAATTAGCTGGGCATGATGGCGTGCACCTGTAATCCCAGCTACTTGGGAGGCTGAGGCAGGAGAATTGCTCAAACCCGGGAGGTGGAGGCTGCAGTGAGCCAAGATTGCACCACTGCACTTCAGCCTGGGCGACAGAGTGAGACTGTCTCAAATTAAAAAAAAAAAAAAAAAAAAAAAAAAACAGACTTCTGCATGTGAGAACTGCCTGTGCCTGACAGTGTCACGGCAGGATCTTCAAGGGGACCAGGAAATCTCCATTCCCCCAACCCTGCCACACATGAGACTCTGCTTTCCTTCTGGAACCAGCTCCCCTGATGCCTCTTTTCTCCCCTCGGGCATTTTGCCTCTTGTTCAGGTGTATCCAGGGCAGCAGTATCTGCAAGGAGGCCAGTACGCACCCAGCACCGCCCAGTTTGCGCCCAGCCCTGGGCAGCCCCCTGCCCCCTCCCCTTCCTACCCTGGGCACAGGCTGCCCCTGCAGCAGGGCATGAGCCAGTCCCTGTCTGTGCCCGGCCCCACGGGACTGCACTACAAGGTAGGGCAGGCTCCTCTAGGCCCTGTGCCGGGCTCCATGCTGAGTGCTGTGGGACAGGGGACCTTGGGGCAGTCCTGTCCTCAAGAGTGACAACAGGGTGGCTAAAGGGGCCAGCAGGGTGTGTAGGTCCATGTGTGCTCATGGACCACAGCTCTACAGGAGATGGGAGATGGGGGGTGGGGGGGTCCTGACCAGTGTAGGAGCAGCTCCCGGGGTTTGGGATCCACTTCCGAAAGGACCCTTTACAAGATTAATATATCTCAGGGGTATCCAATGCAGGGAGCAGCAGGCAGGCACCCAAGACATTTGAATGTCCTTTATGGAAAAGTGTCCTCATTCCTTCTGCTTGCTGCAGAGAAATCCAGTGAGAGGATGTGCCCTCGCTGCTGGCCACGCACCCTTTCTGGGTGCATGGGCAGAGTGCACCTCCCTGGGAGCCTGGGTGCGCCGGGTGGTGCAGCTGGGGGGAGGAGAGGAGGAGGGCTTAGTGTGCCTTTATCTTTTCAGCCCCTCCGACCTGTTTGATCATTTTCCTCTGTGGCTATGATTGCTTTAAGTAGTGTTACTTGTAGATTATTTGGAAAAATACAAGAGAGTGTAAAGAAGACCATGTGTGGTGGGCTTCTAGGGTCAGGTCCAGGGGCCCCGGCTAGAGCCCCAGGTGCATGCAGTTTTCTCTCCTGCAGCCCACAGAGCAGTTCAACGGGCAGGGCGCCAGCTTCAACGGGGGCAGCGTCAGCTACAGCCAGCCTGGCCTGAGTGGGGTAGGGGGTCTGGCTGGGCGGATGGGCCGGGAGGCTCACAGGGTGGGCATATGGAGAGAGGGCGACCAGGCAGGCACCCCTGGGGCTGCCTCCTGTCCACCTCTGTTACCATGGTTTCCAGTGGGTGCTCCATGAACAGACTCCACTCCCATCCACCCTGGCATTCTGCCTTGACTGTTTGTGCTCAACCCTACAGCCTACCCGTTCCATCCCGGGCTATCCCAGTTCCCCACTGCCAGGGAACCCCACGCCACCCATGACCCCAAGCAGCAGCGTCCCTTACATGTCACCAAGCCAAGAGGTCAAGTCTCCCTTCCTGCCTGATCTCAAGCCCAACCTCAACTCCTTGCACTCATCGCCCTCTGGTAAGTCTGTCCACTCTTGGGACAATGGGGTGACGAGGCCAGGGTGGGTATGGGGGAATCACAGGACTCCAGAGAGTCCTGTAGGATCTTGGGGGACAGGGGGTGGCTGCCATATCCCTAAGAAAAGGGCTGGGTGCGGTGGCTCACACTTGTAATCCCAGCACCTTGGGAGGCTGAGCACAAGAGTTCAGGGTTACAGTGAGTATGATCTTGCCACTGCACTTCAACCTGGGTGACAAAGCAAGACCCTGTCTTTAAAAAAAAAAAAAGCCAAGGATTCCATCTTCTTAAAGACAAGTCGCTTAGTGCCAAGCCTTCACCTTTTTGTTCTGTTTGTGGGTTTCTTTGCAAAGGAGGCTGTGGCTCTTCTCTCTAGAAAAATACCCCTGTGCACAAAATGTTGTATATAATTTCAGGGGATTTATGAACCCCCCGAAGCCCATTCCAGGGAGACCACAGCAGCAGAAGTTGGGGTCGTAGAACTCTAAACGGAGCTGTAGGGCAATTGCAGGTGGCCCTCACACACCTTGGCCTCCTAGTCTCTCTGAAAGCACTGGAAACAGCTTCTGTCTGGATTGGGGACATGTTCCCCTATTATGGTTTAGGGGACTTTGGGCTGGGCTGCCGAGGCAGGAGACAAAAGAGAACATCACGACCAAATGCCCAGGCCTCAGGAGAGATGCTGCCCATGGCCCCAGCCCCAGGGCACCACTCAGGCCTGCCAAGCAGTGCCTGACAGGAGGGGCTCCCTTCGCCAAGGTCCCTGTGGGGAAGGTGACTGGGAAGCCGCTGCCCTCCTTGAGTGGCACAAGATGCTCGGGCTGGGGCAGCCCAGCTCACAGCCAGTGGCCTCTGCTTCCAGGAAGTGGGCCTTGTGACGAGTTGCGGCTGACCTTCCCTGTGCGCGATGGGGTGGTCCTGGAGCCCTTCCGCCTGCAGCACAACCTGGCTGTGAGCAACCACGTCTTCCAGCTGCGAGACTCAGTCTACAAGACCCTGATGCTGAGGTGAGCTCCGCCTGGCCCCCACCTGACCCCCACGTGGCTCTGTTCCTCCTCCCACACTCTCAGGGCCCGTTTTCTGGGTGTCCACCCATCTTCCTAAGCAGGCCTGACCTGGAGTTGCAGTTCAAGTGCTACCACCACGAGGACCGGCAGATGAACACCAACTGGCCAGCCTCGGTGCAGGTCAGCGTCAATGCCACGCCGCTCACCATTGAGCGCGGCGACAACAAGACCTCACACAAGCCACTCTACCTGAAGCACGTGTGTCAGCCAGGCCGCAACACCATCCAGATCACCGTCACCGCCTGCTGCTGCGTGCGTGTCCTGCGGTGCCGTGGGGGCGGTGCCATGGGGTGGGGCGGGGTGTGGGCGGGGCCTGGCCCAGCGGCGCAGTGGGAGCAGAGCCAGGACCTGGGCGGGCCGCCGCCTCCTGCTGTTTTGCTGCCTGCTGCTTGCTGCCTGCTGTAGCATGTGTGCCCCCTTGGGGGATGAAGAGCAGGCCATGGGGGCTTTATTATTTCAGAAAAATGCATTGCTTCTCCTTGTTACTGCCTTGTATTTCCATTTTAATCTGTCATCCTTGCCCTTTAGGAAAGCGATTCAGTAATACACCCTAGCTGTTTTCCAGTTAGAATAAATTGACTAGATTTGATGGTCACATTAATTATGTAAGAGAAACCAGGCTGTGCAGAAAGCTCATGGAGCTCGGAGTCCCCAGCTGATCAAGCATTACCGGTTCTAGCAAGCATCAGGGTCACCCTTGGGCTAGAGGAGAAAGGCACGGCTTATGAGTGCACTAGTCAGCCTGGGCATGAGGGCCTTGGGGACGGGGTGGCCACACACCGCAAATTTATGGGATGTGGCAGATGTCAACACAGACCCAGCATCTGTGACTGGATGTGCGAGCAGGGGGGACGTTCAAGGGGACTTGAGTTGATTCTCTTGATGGAGAGGTGGTGACTGGGTGATAATTAGACAGGCAGGATGCCCAGCACAGCTGCAGAGATGGGTACAAGTGGGCAGGGTGCTGAGGCCAGGAAAGGCAGCTGGATGGGGCCAAGCCACTGAGGAATGTTGCTGGCTGACCCTCCACCCCCAGCCCACCCTGCCCTCAGCCTTGTCCCTCCCCCACCTGGCAGCCCCTGACACACACTCCCCTGCACACCCTTTACCTGGCCAGGGTGGCCCCTGGCCCAATTCTCCCCAACGACACCAACAACATCCTCCCGTTGTTTTGCAGTCCCACCTCTTCGTGCTGCAGCTAGTGCACCGCCCGTCCGTCCGCTCAGTGCTGCAGGGCCTCCTCAAAAAGCGCCTCCTGCCTGCCGAGCACTGCATCACCAAGAGTGAGTGGCCCCTACCCCTCAGCTGCCAGGCAGCCATCCGCACTCTATGTGGTCCATGCCCAAGCCAAACAATCCTCCTTGCGGGCACCTCCTCACGCCACACCAGGTCATCTCCTTGGACAGGTGGCTCTGCAGTAGGGGCAGTGGGTAGCTCCAGGTGGCCCCTCAGTTGTCAGTGGGTCAGTGAGTGGGTCCCTGCCTAGTTGGTATCCCCATTCACACCTCCCCATCTTGAGGACCCTTTACTCAAGTCCATTACCTTGTTGATGTCAGTAAAGCGGAACTTCAGCAGTGGCACCATCCCTGGCACCCCTGGGCCCAACGGAGAGGACGGGGTGGAGCAGACAGCTATCAAGGTGTCCCTGAAGTGCCCCATCACCTTCCGCAGGATCCAGCTCCCCGCCCGAGGTCATGACTGTCGCCACATACAGGTAGGTGGTTACTGCAGAACCTTGGCGGAATTTGCTGCTGCTAAAATATCTTGAGTCAATACATCAGTGTCATTCTCTGGACAGACATGAACTCCTAGTGCCTTGGCTGTCAGGCTGACAGGACAGGCCTCCCCCGTCAAGGAGGCAGGTGGGCCTGGCTCCCCCAAGACTAGGCTATTTTTTCTTCCAAATATAATTATCATTTTACTAACTTTTTTACTGCCTGCTTCATTATGGGTTCAAGTTTTTTTATTTATTTATTTATTTATTTTTTTTTTTTTTTTTGAGATGTACTCCCACTCTGTCGCCCAGGCTGGAGTGCGGTGGCACGATCCCGGCTCACTGCAAGCTCCGCCTCCCAGGTCCACGCCATTCTCCTGCCTCAGCCTCCTGAGTAGCTGGGACTACAGGCCCCTGCCACCACGCCTGGTTAATTTTTTGTATTTTTTTTTAGTAGAGACGGGGGCCACCACGCTCGGTTAATTTTTTATATTTTTTTTTTAGTAGAGATGGGGTTTCACCATCTTAGCCAGGATGGTCTTGATCTCCTGACCTCATGATCCACCTGCCTTAGCCTCCCAAAGTGCTGGGATTACAGGCGGGAGCCACTGCATCCGGCCAAGAGTTCACGTTTTGAAAGGCATAAGGTTGCAGGGTCCAGTCTTCCTGCCCTACCCGCAAGGGTGACTATCGTTAGCGTGTCTGTCTTTGCAGAAATACTGTGGGTATGGACAAATAGATGCACAACGCACTGTCTCTGTAGTTACGTAGTGGTCCCTATTGCACAAACTGCTCTGTGCTGTCATTTTTCTTCTTGTAATACCATGTTCTGAGGCCAGGTGCGGTGACTCATGCCTGTAATCCCAGCACTTTGGGAGGCCAAGGCGGGTGGATCACGAGGTAAGGAGTTCGAGACCAGCCTGGCCAGCATGGTGAAACCCTGTCTCTACTAAAAATGTAAAAATTAGCTGGGGCATGGTGGTGTGTGCCTGTAATCCCAGCTACTCAGGAGGGTGAGGTAGGAAAATCGCTTGAACCCGGGAGGCAGAGGTTGCAGTGAGCTGAGATCGAGCCACTGCACTCCAGCCTGGGCGACAGAGCGAGACTCTGTTTCAAAACAAAACAAAACAAACAAAAACACCATGTTCTGGAAGTGGGTCCTAGTCAGCACAGCTGCCCGATTCTTGCTTTGGCCACATGGCATTCCAGTCCCAGTGAGAGCTGTTTGGGCTGTTCCCAACCTTGATCCATTAGAATGATGGTGCAGGGAAAACCTGGTAAATGAAGTATCTCAGATATGCATGTAAATAAGTCACACATTCCTGAAAATGGATTGCAGAGTGACCAGGTCTTCCCTGTCCTGCCCACAATGAGAAACTGATTTTCTCCCCATCTCTCTGTAGTGCTTTGACCTGGAGTCGTACCTGCAGCTCAACTGTGAGCGGGGGACTTGGAGGTGTCCTGTGTGCAAGTGAGTCTCAGATGCAATGTGTGATGGGGGAGGGGCTGGTGCTTTTAGAGGCTTTCATGGGTGAAACCTCCAGTGGCATCATCAAAGACACAAGCCTGGTGGGAGAAGTCGCCGCATGGACTGGGATTGTGCAGCTCAGTGCAGAGAGCTCGTATAGGGTGGCCTTACGCAGGGTCATCTCATGCAGTCATCTTGTGCAGAGTCACTTCATACAGGGTCACCACATGCACAGGATCACCTCTTATTATCACCTCACACGAGGGTCAGTCATACAGGGTCACCTTGTACTGTCACCTCACACAGGGTCAGCTCACACAGAGTTACCTTGTTCAGTTGCCTCACATAGGATTGCCTCATCCTGGGTCACAGCTGACAGGGCTGAGAAATGACAGGGCCTGTGCCCAGGACAAGGTTGTGTAAGGTCTCTAAGCTGTGTCCCTTTTTTTCCCCACAGCAAGACAGCTTTGCTGGAGGGCCTGGAGGTGGACCAGTACATGCTGGGCATCCTGATTTACATTCAGAAGTAAGCATCCTTTTCCTGTGATCCCTGCATCTGTGGCCACTGGAGGGCAGCCCCAGGACGTGTAGGGGGATGTCCCTTGCCAAGTGCAGCCTTCCAGCCTCTTTCCAGCATGGAGCAGGCTGCATTCCAGGCCAGAGACAGCGTGTGTGTCCTACCTGAGTGTTGGTGCTGGTCCCAGCGTTCTGCTGGGCGTGGAAGGTGCTGGGTGGCAGCAAGCATTTGAGGGGGGGAAACTGCCTGAAAACTTAGCCCAGGGCTGGGAGGGGCAGTGGGTACCGGGTCAGCAGCAGGCCAGGAGGTAACCATTCCCCACATGTCCCTGCCCAGCTCTGACTATGAGGAGATCACCATCGACCCCACATGCAGCTGGAAGCCAGTGCCCGTGAAGCCTGACATGCACATCAAGGAGGAGCCGGACGGGCCGGCACTGAAGCGCTGCCGCACCGTGAGCCCCGCCCACGTGCTCATGCCCAGCGTGATGGAGATGATCGCCGCCCTGGGCCCCGGCGCTGCCCCCTTTGCCCCCCTGCAGCCCCCCTCAGTCCCTGCCCCCAGCGACTACCCTGGCCAGGGTAAGTACAGCAGGCCAGCCTTGAACCTCAGATGACCCTGGGCATATGGCCCCTCTCCCCAGATCAGTCTCCTCACCTGCAAGAATGTGGCTATGCAGGCTGCACACCTAGGTTATCAGTGTTTCCACACAAAACATGCCATGGGGCACCTCCCGCTCCTTCCATCTCAGGGACGTGGCGGTGAAGGCATAGTCTCGGCTATGGTCCTAGGAAACAGACAGTGGGGCTTCCACCCTTCCTTCCCCCTGTTTGGAGTAAGGGGCTCTTGGCTGGAACACCTCCACAGACTGGCCCCATCTGGGGCCCCACTCTGGGACCCACCTCACAAGCGTGGTGCGTGCGTTTGTGGCTGCTCCCATTCCTATAACCTCCGAGACCTTCACTCCTAGGAATGTCCCAAGGCCAATTCCCTTGGCAGCAATGAGAAGAAATGCCCTTTTCCAAATAGCGACTTCTGCAAAACCCGCTGTTGTTTGTGGGTGAGCACTGCAAGTCCCACCCATGCCACAGCAAGCCTCCCTCCTGGCCCCTCTGCCAGCGGTAGCCTTCCCCAGCCCTCACCCAGGCCCCAACTCTCCTCTTGCAGGTTCCAGCTTCCTGGGGCCCGGAACTTTCCCTGAGTCCTTCCCGCCCACCACGCCCAGCACCCCAACCCTTGCTGAGTTCACCCCGGGGCCACCCCCCATCTCCTACCAGTCTGACATTCCCAGCAGCCTCCTGACTCCAGAGAAGTCTACCGCCTGCCTACCAGGCCAGGTCAGTGCCATGCCGAGAGGCCAAGGGGGCCTGTCTCCTCAGGGAAGCCCCTGAGCTGTTTTAACAAGTTCTTCTCTGTGTCTTCAGATGGCACCAGCAGGTCACCTGGACCCCACTCACAATCCTGGGACACCAGGACTACACACCTCCAACCTTGGGGCCCCTCCGGGTCCCCAGCTGCACCATTCAAACCCTCCCTCAGCGTCCCGGCAGTCCTTGGGCCAAGCGAGCTTAGGGCCCACGGGTGAACTGGCCTTCAGTCCTGCCACAGGCGTGATGGGGCCCCCCAGCATGTCTGGAGCTGGGGAGGCCCCGGAACCAGCTCTGGACGTGAGTACCAGGCCCCATGCCAGGGAGTGCGTGGGAGCCAGGGCTAGAGGTGGTGTGTCTGTTGTCCCTGGGTTCCGAGTGTGTTGTGGAAGGGAAGACAGTGACCCCTCAGAGAGCCGGTCAGATGAGATCAACTAAATGCAGCTTTTGTTCACGAGTCAGATACCTGGAGTAGCTGTGGGTGGGATGCGATGTACCACATTTGTGTTCATGAGGGGCCTGGATGCCATACGGGCGACGCAGAGTCCTCAGAGGAGACTGTGCTGGAAGCTGACAGCACGGTCCTTTGAGTCAGATTTCATCTGTCCATTTGCTCAGTAGCCCTGGGCCTTGACTCACAGGTAGAATGGGAGTGCACACTCAGTACATGGAAGACAGGACTGACTGTCCCTGGACCATAATAGAAACTCATTGAAGTTCAACATGAAAAAAGTTAGGAAGAACAGCTCCAAGCAGAAAATCCTAGGGGCATGGAATTCCACCACCAGCATTCACCTTGGGGAATCACGGTGGGGATCCCCACGCAGGCCGGTGCACAGAGAATGTGTGGAGTGGCTGTGCTCCCTCACATCCCGTTTCCTGGTGGTATTGAACAGCATGTTGCGAGCTGTTCTGGCCTCAGCAGCCTTGCAGGGAGGTCCCGGGGGTGGCGTGTGCCTCCTTGAGCACATGCAGGCCTATAGTGGGGCCCTGCACCCAGCCTGTGTGTGGGGAGGGGCTGCTCAGCATCCCCACTGCACCTGGATGGGATGTGGTGACAGGATGGTCACTCAGGTGTGGCCAGTGACCAAAGCTGCTAACATAGTTCACTTTGTCCTCAGCTGCTCCCAGAACTGACCAACCCTGATGAGCTACTGTCCTACTTGGGACCGCCCGACCTCCCCACAAACAACAATGACGACCTGCTCTCTCTGTTTGAGAACAACTGATCCTGTGTTTACCCCAGGCCTGGCGGGGACACGCTCACAGATGTCACCACAGCCCTGCCCTTCATGCCCAGCCCCCTGAGACACCCGGTGGTCTCTCCCAAACCTCCCCCAAAACACACCTGGAGCCAGAGCCTTCTGCCGCCAGCCCTGTGCTCGATTGGAGGGGCTCCCAGCCCGGCAGCCCTCGCCACCTCCCTCTACCAAGCCTGCTGCTGCAGAACGGTTTTTGCTGAGGTGCCCCTGCCCAGCCCTCTCCAGCCTTGTCCACGCACACCTCACACCCCTGGTCTCACAGCCTCACACCTTGTCCTTCCACCCCTGCCTGCCCCCGCCCAGCCTGCTTCTTGTCCAGCATTGATCCTTCTGTTTCAACAACTCCTCCACTGGGCAGAGCTGGGCATCTGGCGGGGCTGGCTCTGTCCCCTGCGCCTTTGGCTCCAGTGGTCCCTGTGCCTGGCAGTCCAGCTCTTGGAACCTCGCTGAATGGCAGCCTCTTGGGGGCCTGGAGCTCTGGCAGCCCAGCCGTGTGTCGTGTCGGGTTCCTCTCCCCACCCCAGCTTCAGGCAGAATCCTCGGGGTGGGGGAGCTACAAAGCACAACAATGTACATAGTGTAGAAACACTAACAGCTGGGAAAGGGGAGCCAGCTGTCCAGCCAGCATGTTCCTGTTGTACAGCCCGGTCTCCCTGTGCACTCTGCTCCTTCCCATGTGCAGACAGATCAGGGAGGAACCTCCAGTGGGTGGGGGACAATGAGCTTTGGCCCGGCCAAGGGGGGTGGGTGGGCTCTCAGATTCAGCTCTGTGTAAAGATTCTCTAGCGGGCTGCGCTCCCAAGTTCCCCGTTTCTGTGAAAGTGAAGAATTAGTACAGCTGTGTTTTTTAAAGCCACCTCTCCGTCTCCACCCCATGGTTCCACACCCAGGTGGGGAGGAGGAAGCCACTGCATCTGTTGGCTCAGGGCCCCAGCCTGTGCGAGCAGGGCGCCCGGGCTGTTGTGTCTCCTGTCTGTGCCGATCTCTATTAAAGGACTCCCTCTTGGTGGGCCTGGCCGAGTCCCTCCTTCATGCTCCCAGGGACTATTTTCTCCCCTGTAAGCCAGCGACCTGCCTAAAGCTTGGGCCTCTGTGCCTGCAAAGCCTGTGCAGGCTCTGGGGGCCGGGTCGACCTTCTAGTGGCTTTTGGGACCCCAGGTTGAGCTCTGGATGTTCTAAGCTAAGGCTCAGCTATTCCCGCCCCATAGTAAATTTCCTTTTCCCTGGAATTTTCCAAGTTGGCTTCAGCTGAAGAGCTATTTTGTGAAGCGTTCCAGGCTTGCCCAGGAGAGACATTTGCCACTATGTCACCTTATCTGGGCTTGCCCTGGGGCACTGAGCCAGCTGTTTGGCAGTCCCAGCCCAGCCAGGGGCTCCTTCTCAGCTCTTGTCCCTGGGAGGCCTCTGCTTGTCACTTACCAGAGATTGCAGAGGTGTGTCCTGCCTACCATCTGCCTGTCCAGCTTGGTGGGGGTCTGGGTCACCCTTTCCTCCTGTCCTGGGCCCCATCCTTGAGGGCCTTCCCAGCCAGCCAGCAGGAGAGGCAAGAACTGGGGGAACATGGGAACCTAGGGGAGGAGGGGAGCTCTGGGCATCCTCAGGCTGGCAGCCAAGGCCTGCCCCTTGAGGCACTAGAGGAGGGCATCTGTCTGTGGGAGCCCAGAAGCTGCAGGGAGAAGGAGGGAGGTGTCTGGTGTGAGCATTGTTCCTGCAACATTTGGGACCACACAGGTGGGCTTCCTTGTTTCCTGACAAAGTCTCTGTTTCCAGCTCTTCTGCCCTCTCTGGACGAGGGAACAGAAGTGGAGGAAACAAAAGAAGCAGCAGTGCACACACTCCTGGTGCTGGGTGTGGAGACAGCCCAGTGCTGTCCCACTCAGCCATGGCCTGATCCAGGCCCCGGGCCCTGCTTTCTTGGGTGTCAAACAACTATGTCCTGAACATCTGATGCACCACCTGCCCTGCCTGTTGCAAACGTGATGCTCCTGGATGGAGTGGAGAAACCGGAAGACTGGGACAAGCAAAAGACTGCAAACAACCCAGAAGCCCATCCTCAGAAGGCTGGAGAAATGATAGAGGAATGCGTGGGCACCGTGGCCCTGTGCTCCGTCACGAACACATCTCAGAAACAACGTGGGGTGAAAAAGCAAGACAGTTCATACAGTATGATGCCATTTTTATAAATCTCAAAACCAAATACGTATGGGAATCATACCCAGGTGCTAAAGTCACCAAGGAGGGCAGGGAGTCAGCACGACACAGTGCTCACCCATGGCGAGGGGACGGGGCCGCGCTCAGGGAAGAGCAGAGATGCTGGAGGTTCTGAACCTCAGGGTCAGTGGTGGCTTCGTGGGTTTCACTTTATTGTACTTTCTGTGTCACATATTTTCTTGTGTATGTGCCAAGTATTGCATAAAAACCAAAAGGCTGACCAGACCTAACAACGCTCCACCCAACAGCAGCAGAACACACGTTCCTAAGTGCACAGCGAATATCCTCCAGGACAGACCACATGTTAGTGTACAAAGCAAGTCCCAGTAAATTAGAGAGTGGAATCCTGCAAACTACCTTCTCCAATCACGATAGAATAAAACCGGAAATCTATACCAGAAGGAAAATGAAAATTCACACATACATAGAAATTGAACACACTTTTTAACAACCAAAGAGTCAAAGGAGAAATCACTAGGAAAATTAGAAAATAGAGATGGATAAGAATACAACATACCAGAACTTAAGGAATGAGGCAAAAACTGCTCTGAGGGAAGTTTATAGCTGCAAATGCCAACATTTTAAAAGAAGCGACATCTTGGCTGGGTGTGGTGGCTCACACCTGTAATCCCAGCACTTTGGGAGGCTGTGTCAGGCAGATTACCTGAGGTCAGGAGTTTGAGACCAACCTGGCCAACATGGTGAAACCCTATCTCTACTGAAAATACAAAAATTAGCCAGGCGTGGTGGCTCACACCTATAATCCCAGCTACTCATGAGGCTGAGGCAGGAAAATCACTTGAACCCAGGAGGCAGAAGTTGCAGTGAGCTGAGATCACGCCATTGCACTCCAGCCTGGGCAACAGAGTAAGACTCTGTCTCAAAAAAAATATTCCTAGAAAGATACAAATGACCAAAACTGTCCCAGGAAAAACAGAAAATCTGAACAGGGCCAGGCGCAGTGGCTCATACCTGTGATCCCAGCACTTGGGGAGAACTAATGAGGTAGGAGGATGGCCTGAGGCCAGGAGTTCGAGACCAGCCTGGGCAACAGCGACCCTGCCTCTACAAAAACTTTAAAAATAAATTGGGTGTGATGGCATGTGCCTGAAGCCCCAGCTACTTGGGAGGCTGAAGCAGGAGGATAGCTAGAGCCCAGGAGTTCAAAGCTGCAATGACCTATGATGACATCACTGCACTCCAGCCAGGATTGAGGCAGAGACAGAGACCTTACCTCAAAAAAAGAAGAAAAATGAAAATATCTGAACCAACCTAAAACACATAGGTAGAACCAGTCATCAAAAGCTTCCCAACAAAGAAAAGCCCAGGACCAGATGGTGAATTCTACCAAACACTAAAGAATGGACATAAATCCCCAAATTCTCCCAAACATTGCAGAGGAAAAAACACTTCCTAACTCTCCCAACTCATGTGAGGGGTCAGCTCCGCTCCCTTCAGTCCCTCCCACTCTGCCCCAGCTCCCTCCAATGGCCCTCCCCAGCAGGCAGTGGCCCCCACCTCTGCCCTATGTAACTGTACCCACTGTGGGTCTCCTCCTTGCCACCCTTCCAACCTTCCAGGCTTTGGTAGCCATTGAGACAGCCCATCCTGCCTGCCCTGGATGGGAGGGCAAGACATGACTGGCTCTGGATGGCCTGTCACCCAAGTTGCTTCAAAGAGAAGCCAGGGACATCAGTGCAGTCGGATGCACAGTGCAGTAGGTTTTGGTAAGTGCACATGCTTGTGTACCTGCCCTTCGAAACCTGACAGGAGAGACCAGCCCACACCCCACCCCAGGTCATCACTGTTCTGGCCCCTGTCACCAGAAATTAATTTTGTCCTTTCTGAAACTTTATGTCAGTGAATATTAGAGTGTGCCCTACTGTTAACTGGTCCTTAAAGTTTCTATGTTTATTTTCTTTTTTTTAAGATGGAGTCTTGCTCTGTCACCCAGGCTGGAGTGCAGTGGCATGATCTCGGCTCACTGCAACCTCTGCCTCCCGGGTTCAAGCGATTCTCCTGCCTTAGCCTCCTGAGTGGCTGGGATTACAGCCTTGCACCATTACACCTGGCTAATTGTAATTTTAGTAGAGATGGGGTTTCACCATGTTGGTCAGGCTGGTCTCGAACTCCTGACCTCATGATCCACCTGCCTCAGTCTCCCAAAGTGCTGGGATTACAGGCGTGAGCCACCATGCCTGGCCTTTTTATTTTCATTTAACTGTATATTGTTCTTGTTCATTCCCTCAGTTACCACCTAGAAGGGAGGATTAATGGGTACCCTTCCCCAATGTCCTATACCCCAGCTCTTCTCTGACCAAGTCTTGAACTCTTTCATGGTACATTAGCCAGGACTCGTTAGGTTGCAAGTGACGGTGACCAATTCAAACCATCTAAGAAAGGAAGGGGCTCAAAATAGCAGTCCTGAAAGGGCCCCAGAGGCAGCTGGACATGAATAGGCATCCTTTCAGGATGACCTCTTGGCCTCTGTGTGTGAGTTTCACCCTCAACCAGCTGCTTCTGTGAACTTGAGATCCAAGCTCCGGAGCCTCACTTCTCATTAATTCACCCCAGAAAAGAGGTGATGATCACTATCCTTCTGGTTCCAAGTTTAAAATCCCAGGGATGGGCTCTGGTTGACTCAACCAGGTAGGGACCCACCCACACAGAGTGGGGTTAGGAGCACTGCCCAAAAGAAGGGAAGTAGTTATCACAAGAGGGAGTACAGAAGGCTTCCCATTGCCTTGGGATGCAGCCCTTGCCTGCTCCCAGTAGTCTCCATATTACCCAGTTCCTGCCCATCTACCTTCTGGGTCAGGCTTCGGCTGAGATGTCATTCCCGGGGGAACCCTCTGCTTCCAGGACAAGTCAGGGCCTCCTCCTGAAGCCTCAATTCACTTTGTGGACTGCCTTTCATGGTTCCCATCATAGCCGATCAGTTAAACAGTGCTGTGATTGTTCTCCCCACTTTTTATTTATTTATTTTTTAGAGATGGCGGGGGGGGGTGTCACTCTGTCACCAGGTGGAGTGCAGTGGTACAATCACAGCTCACTGCAGGCTTGACCTCCTGGGCATAAGCACTCCTCTCATCTCAGCCTCCCGAGTAGCTAGGGCCACAGGCTTACACCACCACGCCCGGCTAATTTTTTTTTTTTTTTAAGCCGAGTCTCACTCTGTCGCCCAGGCTGGAGTGCAGTGACGCGATCTCGGCTCACTGTAACCTCCACCTCCTGGATTCAAGCGATTCTCCTGCCTCAGCCTCCCGAGTAGCCGGGATTACAGGCGTTTGCCACCAAGCCCAACTAATTTTTGCATTTTTAGTAGAGATGGGGTTTCACCATGTTGGCCAGGCTGGTTATGAACTCCTGACCTCAAGTGATCCCCCCGCCTACGCCTCCCAAAGTGCTGGGATTACAGGAGTGAGCCACTGCGCCCGGCCCCGGCCCCACACTATTTATTTTAATAAAGTTAAAAAGTAATGCAATGGTAAGTGCAGTGGCTCACACCTGTGCAGTGGCTCACACCTATAATCCCAGCACTTTGTGAAGTAAAGGCAGGAGGATCGCCTAAATCCAGAAGTTCAAGACCAGCTTGGACAACAAAGTGAGACCCTGTCTCTACAAAAAAATTGTTTTAATTAGCCAGGTGTGGTGGAGCACACCTGTGTAGTCCCAGCTACTTGGGAGGCTGAAAAGGGATGATCACTTGAGCCCAGGAGTTTGAGGCTGCAGGGAGCTATCTTGGTGCCACTACACTCTAGCCTGGGTGACAGAGCAAGACTCAAAAAAAAAAAAAAAAAAA